TTTTCTGTGTCTGGTATATGTAGGTTTTGATGGACTAGGAGACCTGAATAATATCCAGAACACTTTTGAAGCAGATCTTGAAACATGCTTAAATACCAGCCTTGAAAGACAAATGCCTGAGAGAAGTGTGCATACGGTGCAGAAATCTCTCAGTTTTAGTAGTCCTGGCTGGGTGCGCTGAAAAATGATGTTCTTTCCAGTTAAATGGATCATTGAAAGTGTTAAGTGTGTCATCGTGATCTTCACTGGTAATATAAGAAGCCAATATATGAAATTAACTTGTCTGGTTTTGAATTAAAACATTTGTTGTAAATAATCTTGTCTTGGGATCTCATTTTCCCTAGAATGGCTTCCATGACTGAATCAGTTGAGTTGGTTTGTCGTTTTGCCATGTATCGCAGTGCTATTTTCTGGAACCATGACTGCATTAAATGACCCAGGTATTATAATTTAAAAAACCCAAAAACTGAAGCATGTTGCCTCTCCCTTCATTTAGCCTGGATCGAAATGCGAGGCATCTGTTCTCTAGGCAGACTTTTTATAAGAGGCTTCTCTTGTCTTCACTGGTCAGAAAAATGAGTTACCACCTTGTCTGATGTTAAAAACATAACAGAGAGAAACATCTTGCTTTATTCTTTGAAGCCAGCAGGTTAGGAGCATGTGTCATTTATACTCATTCGTTGCTTTATTCTGATCTCTCTCTGTAGTAAACACATATCTTGTCCTGAACTGAAACAACAGTCAATGACTGTTAAAATGCAGTATTTCAAAAGCAGATTGCCTTTGCATCTTCAACAATAGTCTCCAGAAAGCATTATCTTTTTCAAAAAAGTGCTGCTCTAGCAAAGCAAAAGAAGCCCGAGGCGTGAACAATAGAAATGGGGAACAGGAGGCAGATTGTCCTTATTCTTTTAAGGGGGAGAGAGAGTCTTTATTGCTATCTACCCTAATAGACCACAACTGGCGCTTTGTGTGTATGACTGGAATTGTAGTCCAGCGTGTTTAGTAGTGGATGTTTAAGATTAATCAAGTATTTATTAGGATGTTAACTTTAACAAGTTGTGAACTAAAAGGTGTCCTCTAGTATACACTGTAATATCCTTTAAAGGGAAGATTATTCTTTAGTGATTAAAAATACAAGGGGATAAAATCCTGCTTTCCTTATTTGCGACCTCTATGCCTATTGATTTAATTGGGATTATTTATCCATATGCTGTTTATGTAAGCCTAATCTCCATTGTGTTGTTTTGTCCTTTCAAGTGACCTATTTGGAAGAAGGCTCTTTCATAGCATTAGTGTGATTACTTGACCATGAGAAAAATCCTAGTCTAAATAATTAAACTTAAATGCAAGCGGTAGTTAGTAGGAAGCCTTTTGGTAGTGTGATTCTCACTAAAATAAATAATTGGACAAAATGGAACCAAAAGTACTTTCAGTCCTTGGAAACGTCAGAGGAGCACTAAATAGTGTGGATCAATTGCCTAATGTAGTCACAGAAAAGAGTTTCCGTCCGAAAATCATGATTGTCTTAATAGTAGTCAGCCTTTTCCTGTGTTCCAATTCTTCTTCGTTCTGCAGTGCCAGGGCTGATTGTGGCAACTGATTGTTTTTTCTTTGTTAGTTTGTATCCTCAGGCATCTTAAAGTCCATCTCCACTTGTTGCCAGAGAGAGGGCAGGCTTATACGTGAAATGATAGCACCAGCTTCTTTCAGCATATTGCTGGCTGAATTGGGAGAACAGGCACTGCAGTGTAGTTCTAGGGTCTTGCAACGTGTGAATGCAAGAAAAAATTGTCTGTACTAAGAATATCTGTGGTATTTCATTATATTAACGTGACATCCCTCTCCTTTGAAAAGAGGAAATTTAAAATATTTTGTTCTTCTGGATCTCATGTGTAGCTGATAAAGTTGTGAGGCTGCATCCTGCATTTTCTTTAGCTGCATCCTACGTTGGGGATTCCTGTGCCTATGCTAGTATGAGTTTCATGATCTACAGTCTATCACTGTCTTTTCACGGAAACCTGGATTTTATAGTTGCATTTTGAAAGCTACAGTTTGTGCTCTTAACAATTTCTTTCCTCATGAATATCTGTGAATGCAGCGCCGCTAGATTTATAGCCTTATGGAGTCTATCAAAATGCAGAGAACAGCGATAGAACTGAAAGAAGCTTCGCAGGCTGTCTCTCACGGTGGCCCTGCTGCTTTACCAGGAACTTAAAGGACTGCCTGAGAGGGTGGCATGGTAGTTCATTTTCCATTGCTTGCTCAGTCCTTGACCTCAGAACTGAAACTGCCAGACCAGTTGTCAATTAATGCCACTTTCTTTGGTTTTTCTTTTTGTTCCTGATATGTGCCAGTTGGATCACTAAATTCACACTGGGGCGGCCAGCCAGCCTTCTGATATAGCAGTGTGTGAGCACCATTGGTGCTGGTTGGATTTCAAGAGGCTACATACATATATAAGTCTTATGTCAGCTGGTACCTCAGGTAACCTTATTTATTCCTGGTACACTTCTGAAGTTTGAGACATGTTAACTTCACGGGCTTAAAAATATGCTCATGTTTTTTCTTGCTAAATGCGATAAAAGATGCCATATTTTATGGTTAGGTCTTAGGTAACACTAAATCTTTCCTGACTTGCTCTCTCTTTCAACTTTCTCTCTTTCTCTCTCTCCCCTTCTCAATTTCCCTCATCCTTCTGGAGGCATCTAAGTCTCTGTAGTTCTTATTTTTGCTCTACAAGTAATAAATAAGCTAAAAGTTAAATAGGCAGTTGGAGATACTCATGTAACATGAGGGATCTGATATTTAGCAGATATGTCAGGTCCTTACAGTGACCTAGTTACTGTCTTCTTGATTTTTTTTTTGTCCTTGTAGAAAAAAAATATGTTGAAGCCAGTGAATTTTAGGTTTATTTCTTGGGAATGTGAGTAATGTAGGCAATTTAGATAATATAATTGTTTTTTTTTTTCTGATATAAAAATTTACTTAATTATGTTGATTTTTTTGAAGAATTTTAAGTGAATATATGCAGTCTTTAAATGTGCAGATTTGAATCCAGTGGTTGGTTATTGGTGCCCTGTCTAATTCTGACTCACTATATCTAGTTGAGAATGATATTAGCCTCCAAACATTCTCTGCTAAATTAATGTATCAGTTTAACATGTTCAAAGGTCAAAATAACCTTGTTACAATAATTCTGTTTGGGTCTGCCAACCGTTAACACAGTCTGTTCCAAGTGGGATTATCTAATTTTCTTACAGATAAGATTACTTATTCTTTAGGAAAGAAAAACGGCCAAGCCCTTTTTTTGGGACTTCTTGAGGGAACTCCCTTTAGTGTGTTAGAACCGAAAACCCGAAAGATGCTTGCTGCTTCTGAAAAGATATATCTATAAAAGGCTGTTTCCTCTGCTGCTGTAATGCCAAATGTTGTTTGTGCCCCAGAAATCGAATTGTTGATGTCAGTCTGCACAAATGACAGTGGAGTAGAGCAAAAGGCTCAGACTGAAGTACCTTTGAATTTGATGCATTTGAATCTAGATCTGGGCTTTAGACCTTTTTTTTTTTTCCTTTTTATTACCACTTTCTATGTGAGGATGGAGACACCTCTCTATAATACACTTTATTTTGTGTTTCAGCTAATAGGCCACATCTGGAATTCTGTAGGATATTTAGGTTCTGACAAACCAGGGATATTCCCCCATCGCTGTTATCATCATTTCTCTTTGAGGTAAACCATTTCCCTTATTCACCCCAAGAATCTAGGGCGCAATACTGAAAAACTGAAGATGAGGGCATAATGATTTATTCTATATTCATGGGAATCTACAAAGCGCTGAGACACCTGGCTACACAAGTTTCAAGCTTGAAGCGACTGTAAACAGTATAGAAATAGGCCATTTAGTCCTCCAGCAACACTCTTACAAAGTATTAAAGCTGACTTTAATAAACAGAGATCTTTCATAGCAAGGTACTGCAAGCAATGGAATGAAGCCAATACTAGAAAGTACTGATTTGCTAACTTTTTTTTTTTTTTGCCTTTTTCTTGCTATTTCTGTGACTTGCTGTTTTTCATTTGCATGCTCACAGAATGTGGGTAGGTGTCAGAATTTCTTACCTGCCAATTTCCTTTATAGTGGGAGTATCTCCCTTCACTACATAGGTAGTAAGCTCAATTGTCAATGTGTTTCTTTGGAAAAAAATATTTTCTGGAATCAATAAATATTTGACATAATTTTTAAGAAATCCACAAACCGGAAGCATTTCTCTGTGGAAGAAGTAACATGTATTTTATGTGGTGACTTTTCTAAGCTTTTTTGCCTATTGAAATGCCTCACACCTGGGCTGATATTCCTGTTAGCTGTTTGGCAGCTCACCCGCTAGAGCGCACTGTGTTTCATGCTGAACCAGCACAGTGACGGTGAACGCCTGCACGCAAACTGAACATCTGCACTAGCTTGAGAAAATGACAGGCAAGGCAAGGAATGCACTGTAGAGTCCTCCAAAGGTTTTGATTCGGTACTAAATACCAGCAGATTCTCAACCAGCTTTCCAACTGACGTCACACTTGGTATGTCAAAAGAAAGCATTTTAACGGTCATGTATCATGAACAGATCTTCCCAGTACAAATCAAAGCCACTGATGAGACAGAATTTTGTTTTTTCACATTGGGAAGAAAGCTAGTAGTTGCATGCCAGGCCTGATGGGAGTTCTGGCATAATTGAAAAGAACCTTCAGTTTGGAGAATGGTTCTAGCTAGCAACTGGGGCATAAACTGATACTTTGTTTAGTGTACATTTGTAGTATTTGCTTAATGTCTGTATATGACTCAATATTCCCTAGTTTAATTAACGCTAGTTTTCTAGTTGTGAAAATCATCCAGTGGTGGAAAAGGGTATTACTAAGGCTGAACCAAGACTTTTAATGTATCCTATGCAGCTTAGAGGCATACTTATTGAAAAGGGGTACTGAATGAAAAACATTGATCCTGTTGAAGTATCCTAACCTCCTTGTCATGAGGCTGAAGGGATAAGTACCTTATGATACAGGGGAGGAGGGTGAGTGAAGCAACTGGGAATGTCTCCGGTCATGGTATATATTTGGCGCATACTAGTGGGTGTGGAGTATTCCTACAATTCATGAAGAAGAGGGTCCAAAGGAAGGACTTCATGTACATACCGATGTCCAAGATCATGTGAACCTAGAACACATTAATCTAGTGATCTGTCCCTAGAGAAGGGGGCCATCCTAAACCAGTGCTTTGTGCATTTTATAGGGTTTCCAGTCAGTTTGAACTGACCCTAGCTCATTATCTGTATATGTCTTAGTCTAGTAGTAAGGAGCCTTAAATCTTAGAATAGAAGATTTAAAGGTATTTTGAAAAACAAGCTACTTTAAAGAAGGTAAAACCAGTCTCAATGATCTAACTGTGATACCTGTTATTAAAGGCCTGAAGGAGCCTGTGATTTAACTTGTCCTGTTCATTTCAGAGCTGTTGTTTGACTTTGCAAGCTCAGTTTTTTTTCCTACGTTGAATGTATTGCTTTTTGAAGACCATTTCCAATTGGGACAGTTTTGCATTTTTTAAATGAAAATGGAGATTCTGAAATATTCACCACATCTGAGTTTGATTCCCCTGTTAGGCTTGGAAATGCTGTTTCAGAAAAGTTTTGTCCCTGTTTATCTGAAATTGTGCTACCTTCTTTTGCAAGTGCATTTAGACAAAGCAACTGAAGGGAGCCTTCACTGAAGCTTTAAACAGATTTTCATTTTTAATATGAAGATGTCTGCTAGTGGAAAGATGCAGGCTCCTGAAGGAAATTTCAGGTGCATGTCTCTGAAGATGTTGTTTTTCAAAAGCTTTATTAAGAAAAGGGCAGAACATAATTTTGAGTTTTACATTTTAAATGGTGCAGCATTGATCTTAATTTTGGGAGATCTTATGTTATGCTGGTGTGGCTGGGCACACACATACTTGAGGTCTAGTTTGAGAGACTTTATCTTGGTTATTGCTAGTAATCATACCACAGATGTTCTGAGCTTATAAAAGACAGCTAATAGTAGATTCACAATTTTTTTTCTGCACAAGAAAGCATATCATTTAAAAAAAAAAAAAAAGAATGCTACCATACACAGCATTAATCATAAGAGATAAGGTATTGTGCCAAATTTTATTTCATCTTTCCTTCTCCCAGTATTATTTGTCTGATTTATACCTCAATAACTAAGCTACTTTCCTTAGGTTAATGATTACTTTTGTCAGTAGTTGTTCAAAACACAGCACAAAAGTTTAGCTTTACAATTTCGTATACATTAGTGAGTAATATAATGGACCTCATGAGGTATACTATTTCATACTGTAAATTGTTACTTAAGATTAAAAAGAAGTTCTTGGAACCATTTATACGATGGCTTGTTATATAGAAAACACTTTTATCGGCACTGATAACTCCCTACTCATGCTTTTTTTTTTTGTTGGATTTTGTGCTTGTTGGCACTGTTTATATTCTACCTTTTTCGCACGGTGTTTACGACTATAGTGATGTGATCATATTATTTTTGCTTATTTTTGCTTGTGAATGCAATTTGTTAGTATTCTTAGTATCAACCCTTCTTCCTCGCTTCTTAGTGTCCTTCAGTGTAATTCTTCTTTTCCTTGTAGATTCGTATGATGAAAGACAGGGATCCATCCTGGAAGCCTACTTTTATTGTAAAACCTGATGGAGGTTGCCAGGGGGATGGAATCTACCTCATTAAAGACCCTAGTGACATCAGACTGACAGGAGGCCTACAGAGCAGGCCAGCTGTGGTCCAGGAATATATTTGCAAACCACTGCTTGTTGACAAACTGAAATTTGATATTCGTCTCTATGTCTTACTGAAATCTTTAGATCCCTTAGAGATATATATAGCCAAAGATGGACTTTCTAGATTTTGTACAGAGCCCTATCAAGAACCCACTCTCAAAAATTTGCACCAGGTTTTTATGCACTTAACCAACTATTCATTAAATATTCATAGTGGGAATTTCATCCATTCTGACAATGTAAACACTGGCAGCAAGAGGACTTTTTCAAGCATTCTGTGCAGACTGTCTTCCAGAGGAGTTGATGTCAAAAAGGTGTGGTCAGATATAATTTCACTGGTAATTAAAACAATTATTGCCCTGACACCAGAACTAAAAGTTTACTATCAGTCTGACATACCAGCAGGAAAGCCTGGGCCAACTTGCTTCCAGGTAGGTTATAATTTTTGCTAGGAATGCAATTATTTATATGCATGGGTGAATTTTATGAATGTTTCATTCCTTTTCTAAAAATTTAAAAATAGTATTTTTGTTGGTCGCTGGGAGGAGGTAGGGAGAAAGGCGAATGGCAGATGTAAACTGGACAGTGTTTTGTGTGAGCTCACTGCTGAGGTTCTCTGCACCCAATTTTTAGCTTACAAATCACTGTCACCTGACCAATGTTACTGCTAGCCAGAAACAGACTGAGAATTTTCAATGGGTATCAATCGTTAGTAGCAGTAATCACTCCAGCTTCTAGGTGATAATAATATGAAGCTTTGCAGCTTCACAATACAGCTATGATGATGGCAATTTTAAGGCCTAATTATTAGAGATGCTAAGATTCCATGCTGACAGATGAAGTATTTGGAGATGAGGGCACTGGAGAAGTAACCATTTGTATTAAAGACAAACGTTTTCAGTAATTATTCAGCAATACATCACATTTCGTAGTTACTTCTCTTTTCTCTCTCAAACGTTTCTTCCTTCCAAATGCTGCCATTTTGATGACCATTTTATTTCAAGCAGAGAGGATCAGCTCAGGTTATTAATAATCCCAGCAGTTTAGAAGGTCTATCACATTGTGGTATCTAACTGGCCCATTTATATTATGGGACTCTGATAAACTTATTCGATCAGAAAGAATTTCCTCTTTTCGTGTTGTATTTTTGCTGGGACTTTTTTTTTTTTTTAATAGTAAGGAGGAAATTAGAATGATTTCTATGAAAGATCCAACATGACAAGTGCCCTTCACTGGACTTCTAGGCAGGTCTCATCAGGAAAACACTTGCAGGCTATGATTATTTGGTAAAGCCTGCCATTAAAATTAGGATGACTACTGAAGCAGCAATTTGCCAATTTGTGTCTAAATCTAAAATGAAAACAGATACGTGCATCTCAAGCATATTCTCCTTTCCTTAACAATTCAGCTACTAAGCAGCAACAAATCTATTCTGGTCACAAGTAGCACTTAATTGAAAAAGAAGTTGGCTTAATCTATAAGAAAGTATTGAGTTTTCATCAAAGGTAATGGTCTCCTCAAAATCTCTGCAGTGTGTCACCGCAGAAAGGCAACGTTTTAAAGGCTAGTTAAAATTTTGCACATCATCTGTTTGTGCCCATCGTATACCTATTCTTTTGCTGTTTTGCCCCTTGAAGGGGTTTAGAGATGCTTAGCAAATGTTATAGAGTGGAAACTATTTTTGGCATGTCATTCTTTTGAGGAAGCACTTCTGTGCAAATAATGTTGAACTCTTCATTTCCTCAGTTAGGATGGTAGAGCAGTCCCACAGGTAGAGGAAACGTAGGGTAGCAGAAAGTTATGTTCTCTAGAATAGAACTGTGAGTAGAATGAAAGTAACATATTGCTTGTTATGCACAGATTTTAGGGTTTGACATTCTCCTGATGAAAAACTTGAAGCCCATGTTACTTGAAGTCAATGCAAACCCCAGCATGAGAATAGAACATGAACAAGAGGTAAGACCTTTCAGCTAACCGAAATATTGGATTGAAATTGTTTAGGGTTGGTTTTCTGCTCTCTTTCCTTTTTTGAAAGATGAAAGCTGTCTGCTAATACAAAACCTCTAAGGTTCTCTTCAGTTTTCTGCTTTGAAATCATTGCTAATCTTATACCCTTGAAATATGACTTATTGGACTTCTGAAAGCTCTCTATCATCTTTGTCATAAATACATTTATTCATGCAGTTGAATATAATTGTATTTAGGGAGTAGTAATAATTTTTTTTCATGTTTGTATACATAATATAAATGGTAACAGTGGTAACAATCTTTTTTTAATTTCAATTTACTAAAGAAATGTGCTAAAAATCGATATAATATCATATTGAAAATCTTACAATATTTACTTATTCTTTAAGAAGTATTCTGTAATCTGTCATTGTGTATTTAAAAAATACAGGATATGCGTAAGGTTTGAGAAGATGTAGAGTAAATTATCATCAGTTCTGCACTGAATAATTGTATCCCTTCATAAATTAAAGCTGTCTCCTGGGGTGTTTGAAAATGTCCCAAGCCCTGTTGATGAAGAAGTGAAAGTAGCTGTTATCAGAGATACTCTTCGTCTAGTGGATCCTCAGAAAAAAAAGCAAAAAGATATCCAGTAAGTGTGTTGACTGACTTTGTTTTTTTGCATCTCTGCTTTATAATAATTGTAAAAGTGAAAAAAAAAAATTTCCAATTATATTAGTTCACCAAGGAGAAAGCTAATTGGTGGCTCAATACAAAAAGAATACTCAGATTTGTTTTTCTACTGAGGAAAGGACAGGAAAAAGAAATCATTGAACTGTCTGTTTAGCAACAGGAAGACCACAGTATGTTTCTTTTACAGCTCTGCATTGACCACTTCACATGCTGTGTCTTTCCTAATGGGAGTGTCATAAGCGGGGAAGGAGCTGTGTGAGTGCTCTAGCTCAAGGAATTGAAAAGGTCCACAAACTGATAGTAAATCGGTTTACTGTCCTGAAATAACTTGCTTTGATTCAGAACTGGTGCAAACAATTTAGTAGCTCAGGTTTATTTACTTATACTTTTCCTTGAGGCATCTCTTTTTATTTGAAATAGTCATGAAATGTAAATTTGTAAATTAATTTACAAATATGAAGGATGTAAAAGTCACAAAGTACTCTGAATCACCCCATTGGAACTGAAGAATATGAGTATTGTATTTAGAAATTACTTCCTTATATCTGTGGCAATAAGCAGAATTACATAAAAACAGTTCATTATAGTCACAGATGAGTAACAAGAATACAGGTTCTGTAATGGAACAAAATAAAAAGTATCCATCTGATACACCTAGGGGTGTCCTAGGAGATTCACAAGCGAATGGCAAAGCACCACTGAACTGATCTTTCTTCTGCCTGAAGTTGGCAGCCAAGGATCAAACATTGACTTTCTCTCCTGTGGAGTGGTGCAGACATATTATAAGTAAGGGTGCTGAAGCAATCTAGTTCTCTTAAGTTAGGGGACTTTATGAAATCTGAGTTTTTATGTACTTTCCTTTGATCGGCCTTGACATACAATTTGCCTCCCCTTTTTTTAAAGGTATATGTGATAATCCAGTGTGTAAAGTGACTCTGTATCTGTACATCTATTTGCTATTTCAAATGTAAAGACTGATCTAGAAATGAGAAGAACTACCTGATGCAGCTTGCACGGAAATGCTTGTGGTGGAGTCAGGCTGAGGGAGAAATAATGCTTTCTGTTTTAATGAAACAGCTCGTTCGAAGCAGTTCTTCAGAGACGTGAAAGGGAGAATTTTTTTCCTTAGAAATCTTTGCCCATAGGCCTCCATCTATGTTAAACTGTTTTGTTCTTCTCTTGTCATTTAGCAGCAAGTTTAAATGTTACTCATATTCTACAATGATTTCGAGGGCAAATTTACTGTCCTTGTATAGAAAGAAATAACAGAAAGAACTATATAGGAGCATTTATCTAACACATGCTAAAGACTCCCATGAACAAGACAGGATCAATATATTTATAAGATCTTTATTTATTAATCTAATGTTATTATAAGATCAAACTTTTCTCTCAGAGGCAGTGCTACATATTTAGAGGGCGTTATGATCACTGTATATGATGTCTTGCAAAGCAGTCTATAGTATATGTTACCTATACTTAACCTTCACTGTTAAGGTTTATTTAGTCCTTGGAACTGAAAAAAGATCTTTTTTTTTCTTCACCTGTAGTTACGTAACCAGTCATGTCTTTTTACGCTAAAGTTATGTCAGGCATTCATTAACTACATATTAGATATGGTAAAAAGGCAAACAATGATTACGAATAAATTCCTGGAGATCTCCAGTGTGTGTGGAATGCTTACTCAGTTGAGAATTCTTCTCTGATGCATTTTGACTACTAAATAATTTGTAACAGGATTAGTCAGTGATGAGATAAACCATTGGCTCTTCACAGCAAGAATTCATCAGTCATGAAGCTTTTTTTCAGGATAATCTTGTTTACGGAGCATCTTGTGGCTGAGTATCTGCACATCTTCACCATGAGACAATCAATAATCGTATTTGTTACTTCATATGGAGATATTCTTTACTGATTCTTTACTTTTCTGTACTGATATGTAAGAACTCAGGTGAGACAACTTCCCATCCATTCAACTGAGATTTACCCTTTCTAATTCCAAATACTTTTTCTTGAGCTGATGCAAGTATGTCTCTATCCAGAGTTAAGGCTTCAACTGAAAAGATTCCTGAAGAATAATCTTGTTGGAACTCCAATTAAGTATATGATGTTAGGCACTAGGATGTCCATACAATATGTATTGCTCACATATAATTTTTTTGCCCTTGAACAAAATTTTGGATGCATGTTCAAGTGGCTGATATGCATAGAACTTCTTGTGAGAGACAGGATCTTACTGTAAGCCTCAAGGTGTAGAGACAAATAAAGGACCTCATTCTGACAACTGTTGTAGATTTACGCCAAAGTAAAAGCATTTGAGATAGAAACTGAGCACCAGCTGCTTTTGCATCGTCCTCACTAGCAAAGGTTTTACAGTGCTTTCACTTTGTGTCCTTATTGTCTCATTCATTTCAGAGCATTGCGATTAATTCTAATGTGTGCTTCCACATTCCCTGTCCAAATGCTCCTACCAATAGCTATAGAAAAGTGGCATCTTTACAAGTTTGCAAAACAAAGGTAATAACTAAATAACTGACTGCATATAGAATACTGAACAATAGTAGCTCAGTACAATGGATATCTATCCGTTGTAATATTTTTGCTATTTCAATTTCAACTGGCACATTAACCTAAAAAAAAATCTGAAATAATTCTTCTTCTGGCAGCTAACCATGCAGCAAACATTGCAGACTTTATGTTTGATGCTAAGTTTTTAATGGGCATTGATGTAGATAAAGCTTAACAATAGCACTGAATACACGGGGGAAAAACGGAGCTGCATCTCAGGTACTCTGCTGTGGGGACAGATTTGATTTCCCTCTAATTATCTACCAGATTAAAATACCTGAAACATCTAAATGAAAGTGAGTTTTAGAAGTCATCATAAAGCACTTCATTATCAGGAAAGATTAATAGCTCAGAAATATTTGGTAGTTTAATTTTTCTTCATCTTTGTAGTGTTTTGGTTATTTTTTTCCTCCCTTCTTCCTTTCATGTGATATATACCATTGAAGTGTAAGTTACGCTGAAGCAGAGCAGTGTAGTTCATTATGCCACGCATACCTTTTCATTTTTCCAACAGCATTCCATTCTTTACACCTACTAATCACTAGCAATTATCTTGGCCCTGCCAATAATTTAATCATTACAAAACTGTAGCAATACAGGTTCAAGTGAACAAACTGAAATGTATCCAGTGGTTATCATTCTGCAGTATGTACTGATTTTGTCTTAGTTAGCAGAATTTGTGCTGGCCACTTAGATACTGAGGTATGTGCTTAATATTTTGTGCATGTTTAAATATGAAATGAAATACATGTAAGGATTTTGTATGGCTGTTTAATAGAGGAAATATCTTCTGTTATAGAGATGAGGGAAGGCTTTGTGATGCAGAGAACATAAGGAGTTACAATAGAGTAAAAAGTCACATGGGCACACATGAACCTTTGCAGGAGGGAGAAGCAGGGCGAGTAAAGCACAGTGAAAGATATTTCTCTCCGAGGGTGTGAAAGCCCTGCATGACAAAATCCTTTTTATTTCCTATGTAGAACAGATATTCTACATATCAAGATCCTGAAGGCAGTAGACGTCCATATAAAGGTTAATACCCTTCTTTGCTATTTTAATTTCCTTGCTGCCTCGGAATCCTATATATTAGGGTAGTGGTAGGCAGCGTACAGTTACAGCACTGTTCCCGAGCAACTGTATTACTAGAGAGATTTGGAGCCATATACTCCTCTGTAGGTTGCAGATGTATGTCATCAGCCCTGTGTGTCTCAAGAGGAGAATCTGAAAGCAGTTCTGTGAGTTATTTTGTTAGACTGCTTTCAATACAATCTAAATCCATCCAGTGAATGTTATTTGGCTGTGCCTGACCAAGTAAATGCCTAGGAAACTCTTACTGAAATTAATGGAGAAGTCAATTAATCAAATGCATTTTGTTCATTTTGATTTACTTTTTTTCACTCTCCTTTAAAAAAAAAATCCAACTTAAAAATGCATATTTATAAAAAGAAGGTTTTATATTTTTTTTAATGAAATATTCCAGGAGCCAAAATATGGAGCCTTTTTTTTTTTTTTTTTGCACTAGCTTTGGTTTTGACACTGATCCTCTTTTCTGTAGGCATTCTTAATTCAGAATTGAGGTTTCACTCCTAATTAAAAAATGAATACATTTAATAAAATAATATGGAAGCTACTAGTCCTTTACTTTTTTTTGTGTGGCAGTACTATTTTCGTAGATTTTAAGGCCTGAGAAGATCATTGAAATCATCCAGTCTGATTACATGCTGAAACAAACACAATAATTTCTGGCTTAAGTATTTTATTCAAAAGCCTGAATTTTAAACTCCTTTGTAAAACTGTTAAGTTTTATCAAAACAAACCTTACTGTTTTTGGCATTACTATTGGTTGAAAAAAGAGGCTAGTCATGGCCAGTAATCTTGATTTCTGTTCTGAATATCTGTCAACACTCATTTCAGAATTATAGTGGTGCTTTTTCCAGTTTACATTTTGTCAGCAAGTGTCGCTCTTTTGACCTGAATTTATGATCTAGTGAAGACCTTCAGTACTAGATTAGCCAGATGGTCATTATATCATCATGAGGGAGCTTTCCTCTTTGAGTGAGAAATCTAATGTAAAAAAGGGAAGAGAGAAGAGGGGAGAAATGTACTTTGGTTTACTTAACATATGCCGAGCATCATTTAGAGCAGAGGTGGCACGTGCCCCTTCATGTGATGGGGAAGAGGTCAGTGTTCATTTTTATCCAAATCTGTAACAGGCGACATGGCCAAGATGGTCAGAAAGGCTGGCTGCGCCGCACTTGGAGTGAAATCCTTCGCAGGCAGTAGTATGGTATGGAGGCAGGGGCTGGACTGGGCTTCACGATGTTTCTACAAATAAACTTTTAGAAAGCTTTCTGTTGTTAAATTTGCGCTGGATTTACTTCTTGCAGCTGA